GTTGCCTGGTATGGAGGGCATTAGCTATGTGGAGAGGTTGGAGAAACTTGGGTTGTTCTCACTGGAACGACGGAGGTTGAGGGTCTACAAGATTATGAAGGGCATGGACAGAGTGGACAGTCAGAAGCTTTTGCCCAGGGTAAAAGAGTCAGTTACCAGGGGCCATGGGTTTAAGGTGCGAGGGGGCAAGGTTTAAAGGTGATGTACAAGGCAAGCTTTTTACACAAAGGGTGGTGGGTGCCTGGAACTCGCTGCTGGGGGAGGTAGTGGAAACATACGATAGTGACATTTAAAGGCCATTTTGATGAATAGGATGGGAATAGAGCGATACAGTCCTCAGACGAGTAAGGAGTTTTAGTTGTGACGGGCAGCATGTCAGTGCAGGCTTGTAGGGCTGAAGGGCCTGTTCCTGTACTGTAATTTTCTTTGTTCTTTGTCCTATCTAAAAGCCCTTAACGCTCCTATCGTATCTGCCTCTATCACCATCCTTGGCACCATGTTCCAGACTCCTACCGCTGTGTAAAAAAACCTGCCCCTCACATCTCCCTTGAACTTTCCCCCTCTCACCTTAAAGTTTTAGACATTTCAAGTCTGGGAAAAAGATTCTGACTGTCAAAGCTATCTTTGCAACTCATATTTTTATAGATTTCTATCTAGTCTCCCCTTAGCCTTGCTGCTCCAAAAAAAAAAACCTGAGTTTTTCTATTCTCTCCTTATATCTCATACCCTCTAATCCAGGCAGCATCTTAGTAAACCTCTTCTGCACCCTCTCCAAAGCCTCCACATCCTTCCTGTAACGTGGCGACCAGAATTGAACACAATACTGTAAGTTGGCCTAACCAAAGTCTCATAAAGCTGCAACACGACATCCTGACTCTTGTACTCAATTCTCTGACTAATAAAGGCAAGCATACAATACGCCTTCTTTACCACCCTATCTACTTGCATGGCCACATTCAGGGAGCAATAGACTTGAACCCAAGATCCCTCTGTACATCAATGCTGTTCAGGGTCCTGCTATTAACTGTATACTTTCCCTTAACATTTGATCTGCCAAAGTGCAGCACCTCACACTTACCTTGATTAAACTTCATCTGCCATTTCTCCACCCAAATCTGCAACTGATCTGTATCCCACTGTATCCTTACAATTCCACTGATCTTTGTATCGTCTGAAAACTTACTACCCACCCATCGACAATTTCATCCAAGTCATTTATATATATCACAAACAGCAGAGGTCCCAGTACAAATCCCTCAGAACACCACTACTCAGGGACCTCCAGCCAGAAGATCACCCTTCCACCACTACGCTCTGCCTTCTATGGACGAGCCAATTCTGAATCCACACTGCCAAGTCACCATGGATCCCATGCAGCTTAATCTTCTGGATGAGCCTACCATGAGGGACCTTATCAAAAGCCTTACTAAAATCCACGTAGACAACATCCACTGCTCTACCCTCACCTTTGTCACCTCCTCAAAAAATTCAATTGCGTTATTAAGACATGAGCTGCCCTGCACAAAGCCATGCTGACTGTCCCTAATTAGGCCATGCTTTTCCAAATGCCATAAATCCTATCCCTAAGAGTTCTCTCCAATAGCTTCCCAACCACTGATGTGAGACTCAGCGGTCTATAGTTTTCTGGATTGTCCCTGTTTCCCTTCTTGAACAAAGGGACAACATTAGCTTCTCACCAGGCCTCCCAGACCTCTCCAGTGGCTAGTGGGGATACAAGGTTCTTGGTCAGGGCCCCAGCAATCTCCTCTCTGACCTCTCTCAGTAACCTGGGGTAGATACCATTGGGCCCTGGGGACTTATCCACATTAATTCTCTTTAAGAGACCCAACGCCACTTCTTTCTGGATCTCACAATGCCCTAGCATATTAGCATGCTCCACACAAATCTCACTATTCTCCATATCCTTCTCCTGGGTGAATACCGATGTAAAATACTCATTTAGAATCTCACCTACATCCTCTGCCTCTAAGCACAAGTTCCCTGCTTTACCCTTGAATGGTCCTACCTTTTCCCTAGATATCCTCTTGTTTTTAATGTATGTATGGAATGCCTTGGGATTCTCTTTAACCCTACTTGCCAAGGTCATTTCATGGCACCATCTTACTCTCCTAATTCCCTGCTTGAGGACTTTCCTGCTTTCTTTATATTCCTCATGGGGCCTGTCCGATTTTTTCTTCCTAAACTTTACAAATGCTTCATTATCCCTTTTTGACTAAATTCATTACCTTCCTCATTAGCCAAGGATCCCTTTACCTTACCATCCTTGTCCTTCCTCCTTAATAGGACATTCCTGCCCGTCCACTGTCCCCTCACGTTCCTGCCCGTCCACTGCCCCCTCACGTTCCTGCCCGTCCATCGCCCCCTCACGTTCCTGCCCGTCCATCGCCCCCTTCACGTTCCTGTCCGTCCATTGCCCCCTTCACGTTCCTGTCCGTCCATCGGCCCTTCACGTTCCTGTCCGTCCATCGGCCCCTTCACGTTCCTGTCCGTCCATCGCCCCCTTCACGTTCCTGCCCGTCCATCGCCCCCTCCACGTTCCTGCCCGTCCATCGCCCCCTCACGTTCCTGTCCATCCATCGCCCCCTCACGTTCTCGTCAATCCATGGCCCCCTCACGTTCCTGTCCATCACCCCCTTCACGTTCCTGTCCATCACCCCCTTCACGTTCCTGTCCATCACCCCC